TTTTTTATTTTTTTATAAACATTTTCTTTTTCAATATATAAATTCAAAAATAATAGAAGGTATTAATAATATATTGACTTTAAATCTTTGATAAAAAAAATAAGTTAATATGGTTTGTTTTTTTTTCTTAAATTATATGAAAAAAACCCTTACAATAGTTTTTTGTTAAATCTTTTTTGATGTTCTTTTTTCTTTTATTTATTGTTTTTCTTTCTTTAACATTTATAAAAACTTTATTGAGTATATAATTTATAAGATTTTTCTTTTTCACAAGACATTTTTTAATAAAAATTATAATTTATAGCAATACAAAAGTATTCAAAAATTTTTATAAAATTTTTATAAATAATAATAAAATAAATTGTAATAATTTTTATATAATTAAGTAATAAAATAATTTGTAATAATAATAAAAAACTATAAGCTATATCATAAAAATAGAATAATATTAATATATGAATATATTAATCAAACTGATTGATTATTGAATTTATAATTTAATATATAAAACAAACTAAATCTATTAATACCTTCTATTATTTTTGAATTTATATATTGAAAAAGAAAATGTTTATAAAAGAATAAGAAAAACCAATGAAAATTTTTAAATTACTAAAAAAAAAAGAAAAAAAATTTTTAATATAAAGATAATCATTATAAAGAGCTCTATTATTATTTTTTATATAATATTAAAAAATAAAAAATTTTTATTATAATATTTTAATAAGTTAATTTCGATTTTAAAGAAAAATTATATTTTATTATATAAAATAATTTATATTAAAATGATGAATATTTTTTTAAAGAAAAAATTATAAATTAAGCAGTTATATACTGTATATATTATCTTATTTTTTAAAAAAAGTTGTTTGTTATTTAATAATTTTTTGATTATTAAAATTAAATCAAAGATTGAAGACATTTTATATAAATTAATCCAATCTTTATTAACAGGAATTTTCATAAAAAAATCCATTACTAGAAAATAAGAACTGTTAGGATCCGAAGCACTATTTCAAACTTAAACTTAAGTTTTTTAAATTATCAAATATGTTTTATACTATATATTATTTATTTTTATTTATTTAGTTAAATTTTTTTAAAAAAATTTTTTAAACAGTATTTTCATTAATATGCATAATTAGTACATATATAGTATTTTAAATTAACCATATAACTGAAAATACAATAATAATTATTATTTATTTTTATTTTTATTATGGATCTATTTAAATAATTTAAAATTTTTTAATTTTTATATAGAAATCATCGGATATTAAAAAATGTGCAAATGACCACTTTTCTGTTCATTGTAAGTCCTACACCTTGCTTTGGACAATCAATATTTTAAAAAATATATTTAATGGGTTAAAGTATATTTAAATATTTTTGAAGTAATTATAAATCACTCATTACAGTATTTGAATTTGTATATAAAGAAATATAAATTACATCGTTATTTTATACTTTTCTATATATGCGTGATAAAGAGTCTAAAAAAATCATATTTCGAATATTATATTTAATAAAATTTAAGTCTAATATTAAGATTGTAACCCTGAAATGACCTTCCTCATTACCAGATTTCATTTCAATTAAAAAAAATATATAAAGATCAAATGATAAATTCCCAAAATCAAATTTAAAATTTGAATCTGAATTAGAAGAGCCTGTTGCCCCAGAAATAATATTGAACTTGGTAATCTATGTTATAGACTCTATGCCAGGTCACATAAGAGAAGTAATTAAAAAAATGAATACTGTATGCAACCCACTGGTGAATTATTTTTTAGAAGTGAATATGATAAATTTATTACGTATATTTTTTTCCATTTTGATACCCTAATGTACTACCATACAAATGTGTGTGCAAATTTTTTTTACAAGTAAATTTGGTTATAGGAATCTCACATTATTGTCATCCGCTCTCTAAACTCCGTTGTACATATTATCGCATAAAATGGTTCGTTAAAACAAAATGATTAGGTCTGGAAACAATAAGATAGGCATAAATGAAACTATCGTTAGGGGATCGAACAATCAATAATAATGTGTCTATGGCCAACAAAAAATCACTCAAAATAGTATATATATTCCACAGCAACCACTCGGTTTCGTAATTACAATTTTTGACTTTCCCTCGATATACTACTCAGTTCCAATTTCCGTTATTTTTTGATGAAACATATCGACCTTTCTAATAATAAAGGCAAGAGGTTAAACACGAAACAAAATGGTATAAAGAGTGAATATATATATATCCATTTCACCTTTTTAAGAAGGGCAAAAGGAAGCTGAATTTTATTCGATATGAATATCATCATGTTTTTTTTTTTCATGACGGCGTCGGTTTACATTTAATGTAAAGGTTTTATAACAATTCTTAGCTCGACAGCGCACTAGGGAAGAATCCAAAATTTTAATTAAACTCTTAGTGGCGGTTCTTACCAGCAAGGAAAAAAAAAAATCATGAGCTTACATCTTATGCCTAAATGTTTTAACCTATGAGATTTTATTTGGCCTGGAAAATTATATAAATTTCTGCAATCGGGGCATTTGCGTTTATAAACGAGTTTCCGAATATTTGGAAAATTTAAGACTTCATCGTCAATTAAACGAACATAGGTGAGTCTTCTATTACCATCGATACGGCAAATCATGTAACATTTATGTGACTGTAAGTTTTCAGCGTTAAAGCGTGTGTTTTCGTTTAAACTTCTTCCGTTAAGGTGACTCGTATTTTTGACAGAACTTGACGGACTATGGCCCGTTCCAGCGATATTTTCGATGTGGTCTATCAAGTTTTGACTTTTTCCAGTGATATAACCCTTAATGATTCCTGTAGTGTTGCTGTCGAAATGAATAATCATATATATGCTTGTTTCTGAGTGTGACGCAAAGCTTTCGGTGGTAAAGCTAAGGGTATATCTTCCTTCATGATCTCTGCTCGGGGTATGAAGAAAAATAAGAGTAGTGATGTTTTCTGAATGTACTGCGGGGTGTGTCATATTTTATTTTTTGCAGCAAGATGTGATTTGGACCTTGAATAATTCCGTATTTATATTTTTACGAATCGTATAAAGCTCAATAAATCACAAGCCCAATACATCATATCTTTTTTATCAATATCTGCAAAGGTCTTTATATACAAGTGTTTAAAAATGATTTTGAGATTTTAGCTGGTTCATGTGCCACTTCAATCCTCGAATCTCAGGATTTCAGTCCTCGCATTCAATCATTCATGCTGTACGAGTCACGATCGAACGTGGCTAAATATGGTCAATCGTTATCTCGTGTAATAATGTATGGCAAATTATGCTATAAGAATAGACAAATAAGTCACTTAATATTTAAAGTCAAACTTTATTTAAGCTTATATATTGATGACCTATCATTAACATTCAACCTTCCTTTTATCTCTGTCAAACAATTATATTAAACGATATACCATTAAAACCATATATCGAGTAATTATATATACTAATAAAATAGGATTAATACCAATACTGATTATTTAAATGATAATTTATAAATATTGAAAAACTTGTTTAAGGCTATTTAATAACCATTCGTATCTTTCACTCATAAATGCGACAAGCAATTGTATAGGAAAACTATCAGCACGATGACATATGGATCGAAGGATGAGAGGGACAATAGTTGTGCGACCAAAACACTGAAATCAATGTTTGCATCCGAGTATATTGAATTATTGTCCATTTATAAAATAAAAGATCCATATATGAAGGTATCAAAGATTACAAGTAAATAATTCGTCATGTTTTTTCGTTTATACAGTATCATACTGTACTAGCAATTGAATATTATGTGATGGTAGTATTTACACTCACGAGGTGCAATTGACATATTTCCGACTAATTAATACCTTCCTCGATTATAACAACTCTCCGTTATATAAAATTATTTGTCATAAAGCAACCGAACAGTCCACTGAAAAATCATTTTAATTATTAAAACCGTAAATTGCACAGCACATATACTGCATAGACAGTATACATAAATCAATGTATACGTATTGGTAGAGCCCTAATGAAAAAAAAAAATTGGATTATTTTCGGTGAAAATTATACAGTATAATGATTGTTATCGCATAATAGACTATATTTGGTACTGTAACGGCGGCGATGTATCTTGTCATAAATGACGCTGCTAATCAATATACCGTACGTCGCGGTGTATAGTACCCCACCCCTTGTCATTGATATTTTAATGGTGCATATCTTTCTGCCAATTATTATGTACGTAAATAAATAAATATAATATTCTTATTCGTGTGTATTGATTAGAAGACCGGAAAGTACTCTACAGGGGGTACTATACACCACGACGTACGGTACAGTACTGTATACGTGAAAAAAAATACTTTGATTGGCAGACTGACAAGTATTCTACAGGGGGTGGGAGGGTAGGGTAAGCACAAAACGTAATCGAGATTAATTTATAAACCGAGAAAATTTTCCACACAATAGGAATGGAAACATTAAATCAATTAGTTCCAATACTTCAAGAAAGTGTCTTCTGTAATTTGATATAAGATAATCACCTACCGTATTGTCAAAAAATAATGATTACTTATCTCGCAACGCAATCGTGTATAGGAACTCTACTCGATATCCTGAATTATCCGATTTTTCGAGGATTAAGCATTTCTCTGTTGTTTTCTTTTATAAACATACAGAAGAAGTCATTTGGTAATTTAGTTCTCTAAAATATTCAAATTAAATATAGGCAAATACCAATCCGTGACTATTTCCGTTATAGAATATATTCATTTATATGTCATAGAGCAAATAAACCAACGATACAAATTTTCGGTTTAAGTATTTCTTTTAATCAATCTAGAATGCATTTGCGAAACGAGAAAGTTTTGTTATAAAAAATATATTATTATTTAATGTATCCATACTTATGAATTTAAATAAGATGACGTTTTTTTTTTTTTTTTAACATGGTACATACAGTGCTATGCACTTCAGTAGAATGAAGATTTGCACACAATTCAAGCCCAGCCTTTTGATGTTCCTCCTGTAATATTCGAGAATGTTGAATAATATCCAAAACGGGATCCCTGAATTTCTTTCATTCTCACTGTAAAAGTATCAAACTTCTGAGAAATCTAATAAGTCAATATTTGATATTGCTGTCGTTGCCGACGAGTCGGTCGCTAAAACGGCTCACTCTTCGTTCGACAATAATCCAACCGCTTAGATTTCGGCGCTAAAATAGTGTAAGGCTTTAACTATAAGGCGCGTTACGATTGGTCAACTTTTCACACACTTCTAATCCCTTCTTGACGTGTCTCAATATTACATGGAAACAAAGGTAATAACGGTTTCTTTATTAAAGTCTTCTTTATTATAGCAGCGTTAAAATAAAAAGAAGTGTATCAAATTCTCTAATTTCTAAACTGGAGATTCCCCTCCTATTTATATGTACATGCTATGACATCATTCTGCCATCATTGTTGTTATTGATACGTGACGCACTTCAATTTCGCGTTCCCATCCCTATTGTTCCCACGACAACATCATTGGGTCGTGTTATATTTTATGCAGGTTATGATTTAATGTGTAATCAGATATTGTCGTTATAAAACTATAGTTAAGTATAAATCTGCAGTTTTATAGTAATAAAATTCCACTACGAATACTGTAAAGTGTAGTGTTGATTTCTTTTTCCAAAAATCATGAAAATATATCCTATTTAAAACAATGGATCGCAATATTTTTATTACAGTATCGCAAGGCAGCGAAAAGAGAAATAATAAGTAACGATATGATCGCTCTATCACATTTTTTATTGTTAGCATCGCAACCTCGCTTTTAATGCGTGATAACAAATAATACATCTAACAGATACGACAGATACAAATTATCAAAGTACAGTAATAAATCACATTTTAAAAATTTAAGAAAGTGCCATCATTTTATGAGAAATTCCCTTTTAAACATCAACTTCTTCGACCTCAAAACCTGGGGAAATTTCCTTCATCACTAGCAACGATCACGCACTCCCTAAAATTACTATGCGAAGTAACAATAAATTTCCTTTTTGGTTTCTTCCGACAAAAACACGGATAAGCTTAATATGAAGTCATAGCCTCCATTTGTTTTAAGATAATAAATAAATTAGATATCAAATGGGGCAACTGACGAAAAACAAAGGTACCAAAATTCTGAATAATTATGATTCGCATAAAACTCTTGCGGTTTTGACAGTTTTGTCACAACTTATCAATATAATATTATAATCCTGTAACCGAGTGATTTGATTTTACCTTCAAAATCTTAATGTTGAATTCCTTTTTCTTAAAAATTAATCTAAATCTCCGAAAACCTATTTGTTACTAAGGCCTCCGTATAAATTATAAATGACGGGAGGGTAATATTTATCATGTTTGTGAATAAATCCGACCTTTGCAAATACGGATTCGAGAATGTTTTGGAGAGTAATGTGTCGGGTTTAAATCCGATCATCCATTCGAGAGAATTGATTAGCATTTCCATGGCAAGGCTCAGATATAGATGTCCGCAACACAAATTTAAATTGTGTTAAAACAGTTTATAAAAAATGTTTTTTAATTAACAAAACTGATGTGGATTAATAATGAATAATACCTGGCTTTATTTAAGAAATACCTCAAGTTGTAAATTCTTTGGCTTCTGAATCTTTTATAATTTCTGGAAGTAACGCTTTTGAGTTCTTTAATTGCCTTCTTTTCTTCTTTGATAAATGCGTTTATAAGCAAATTACTCTCGATATTTTCCGTATTCCCTTTTGACTTAAACCTCTCAACTAATTTTTGCGGTTCATTTTGTTCCGTACATATCGTATTTTGCCTTGATTTTCGTTATATATTAAAAAGGCACTTTACTGTGCATTAATTGATCTTGTTCTTTTATAATAATTTAGAATATGCACTTTTTGCAAAACTTATATTATTATTCTTATGAAAGTACTGTATATTTGAAATTTCTATTTTTTATATTTTTATACAGTATTTTCTCAAATATATATATATATATATTCAAGATTTTTGTTTGTAGATATAATGTATAATATATACATGTATATGTGTCAAATAATTTTTTTTAATTGTACTGTGTTTTTGAGGTCTCTAGCGTTTTCGAGGTAGTGATAATTAACAACAAATTTTGTTTTGATTTTGACTATTGTTAGGAAGTATATTATTTCTATATAACAAGTTTTTTTAATAAATTTAAAATATTAAGCTTTTTTTAAATATATTTTTCGCATGACCTACAATTCTATTGATTGAAAAAGAAAAAACAAATAATAAAGATAGTGTAACGGTGATCGGTGAGTCAGTCGCTAATGAAAGCTAAGATTCACGCAACGTTAGTTGGGTAAGAACGGTATTTTATTAGGGGTGAGGCGGATTTGTCGTTGGCCGAAAAACTTGACTTCCTTTATACATTCTTGCACACCTATTACGTAATAATAATGATAAATACAAATTAAGCAAAAATTATAAAAAATCTCATGACGAAGCAATTGTTATTTAATTTTCACGCTGCTCTTATTACATAATCGATCCCATCGATCCTTGTACGACCCGGTCACGTGGTAATTGCTGGGATTGTGTCGCGATTCGACTTCCTTCTAACATTTCCCTTTTCTTCAGGTTCCTGCTAGTTTTCTATCACGCTCATTGTGTTCGATACCACTAGATTACTCTTTAAAAATGCTCTAGTAAAAAATTAAAATGGCATTACATATTTATTCTAATTGAATTTGTAATATAGTTTTCTTACAATTGTAAGACTTATAATATATTATTTTAATATTGTTAGCGGGAAAATTGCTTAGATAAGGCCTGGGGACGCAATATCCACGTCTCGTGCCTAATTGAAGCAATGAAAATACCTTAGCAATTATTCAGATGAAGTAATCAGAAGTTTAAATAATTTAAATAGTATGATAGTTTATGAGTTATAGCGATAGTCTTATAGCAGATAGTCATGGT